TCCTACCATTTTTAAATGATGGATAGTCCTTCATCAGAGCTAAACAACAAAAAAATCTAAAGCTCCTGTGTTGAATAGTTTTTGAGTTAGAAGCATTTTTTTATATCCAGACACCCCCTCTTTAGATGGAGCCCCCTCCTCAGATATGGGGTCTATCATAAAACTGTTGGCTGGATCAGTGTGGGTCAGACTCATCTACAGTCCTGACTAATTTCATGTTGATCAGTGCATTGAAATAAAATAAAATAAAGGATAGGAAAACAATAAGACCCCTGCTTTGTGAGGGTCCTGTCATGGTTTGTCTGTTTTCACATTAGTTTTCCTAGTGTTTCTGTTTCCCCAGTGTGTCACAGCTCAGCTGCTCCCGATTTGTCTGATTGTCACCCTCGTGTTTCTCACCAGGTGTTTTCAGTTCATCAATTAGTAGTCAGTGTATTTAAGTCCTGTCTCGTCTCAGTCTTGTGTCGGTTCATTGTGCTTTGTCCCCTGCTTGTGTGATCTCCGTGGTTTTTGTAAGTTGAGCTGTCCTTACAGCAGTTTTTTGTTACCCTTTAATAAATTTTTGTTATACTGTTTGAGCCTGCCTGCACCCTGGTTTTGTTCCTGCCAGTTTCTCTCAGAATGAACCGACCAAGTACCCAGCCTGCAGGCTTATATTTTGAGGTGGACTTTTGTGAGATCGCTTGGCAATGCAGGCGAAGAATGGATAAGAAGATTGATCTTCTTCCAAGGAAAGGTCCCCGGTGGATTTTTTCACCCACCCTCCCACCCCTCTTTTTTCTGTTCCTGACTCTGTTCCTGTGGGTCCTCCTGACTCTGTTCCTGTGGGTCCTCCTGACTCTGTTCCTGCGACCCCTCCTGGGTCTGTTCCTGCGACCCCTCCTGGGTCTGTTCCTGRGACCCCTRCTGGGTCTGTTCCTGCGACCCCTCCTGGGTCTGTTCCTGCGACCCCTCCTGAGTCTGTTCCTGGGTTGGTGGCTTCAGTGGCGGTTCCACAATCGGTGGTCACCGTCCCCGAGTTGGTGGGCCCAGAGTCGATGGTCCTGGANTTTCCAAAAATTTTACAAATACTACCAAAAAGTTTCTTTAAACTAAAATTTATGGACTTTTAAGGTTATTCATAATCAGAGGCTGTTCATCACTTCAAATTTCTCATCTCAAATTTGGGCTCAGTTTGCTGTAAAAAAACACAAAATGAGTTTTCATGGGGATGAATTAAGAATTCATCCCCAAGGTTTTGTAAGCTGTTTCAAATCAGAACAACTTCTTCAGTACTTGTCTCAAAAGTGTGCTTCTTTCGTTCTACTGAACACAAAATGATTTTTCATGTTAAAAAAGTAGAATTTCCTAATGAAATACACAAATGCTGCAAAAAAANCTGGTGGGCACGACTTATTAACTGGTGGGCACGACTTATTAACTGGTGGGCACGACTTACTAAGTGGTGCGCACGAGATAGTTTTTTTTTTTTCATCCAATGTGTCCCTTTAGGGGCTCAGTAATATGGAGTAAAAGGAAGATTTTTAAAAAATCCTACAAAAACTACCAAAAAGTCTGAAGGATACTAGTAGTTAAACAACTGTAAGCTGTTTCAAATCAGAACAACTTTTTTAGTACTTGTCTTAAAAGTGGGCTTCATTCGTACTACTGAACACAAAATGATTTTTAATGTTGAAAAAGTAGAATTTCCTAATGCATACACAAATACTGCAAAAAAAGGATCAAGAAACCAAAATTTATCTAAGATTTTGGAGTTCTTTTCAAACCAGAGCCAGTTCTCATCTCAAAACTGGGCTCATTTCGCTGTAAAAAGACAAACAAAAAAAAAAAAAAACACAAATTGAGTGGGGATAAATTAAGATTTTTTACAAAAAGCTTCATTTACTGCTAAAAAGTATCAAGGAAACTATAATAATTGTCAAAGGTTTGTAAGCTGTTTCAAATCAGAACAACTTCAGTACTTGTCTCAAAAGTGTGCTTCTTTCATTCTACTGAACACAAAATGCATTTTCATGTTGAATAAGTAAGATTTTTCCAAAAATTGTACAAATGCCACCAAAAAGTTTCTAGAAACTAAAATTTATGACTTTTAAGGTTATTCACAATCAGAANACCAAAAAGTTTCTAGAAACTAAAATTTATGACTTTTAAGGTTATTCACAATCAGAACGTGTTCATCACTTCAAATCTCAAAAGTATGCTCCGTTTGCTCTAAAAAACACAAAACGAGTTGACATGGAGTAAAAGGAAGATTTTTCAAAAATCTTACAAAAACTACCAAAAAGTCTGAAGGAGTAGTTAAACAATTGTAAGCTGTTTCAAATCAGAACAACTTTTTTCAGTACTTTACTTATACTTCTTACATTTTAATTCAATTATCTGTACTTTCTACTCCTTACTTTTTAAAAATGCAAAAAGTATTTCATTTCTATGTAACTTTGACCTTTTTTTCTTCCATCTTTTCAATGTTCAGAAAAAAATAATAAATATAAATCTATATTCATGGAGCCCATGGATAGAGTGAATTTGATTGTGGTTGATGAGAAGTGTAAATATAAGTGTAAAAAGTGTAAATATATACCATTCTGACATACTATTGGATTGAACTCACTCCATCACACCTGTGTAGTAGTTTCCCTTCACTGCTATGTCTAGAATTTCTCCCAGACAAGGGTTTCTTTGGGAGAATTTTCATCCAGGCCAATCAGAGAACAGAACATAGATTTTCTGCGCAGTGTCTCTTGTTGTTTATTTTACCTGGGCCAATCAGCAAACAGAAGGCAGAGTTTTGAACGACGTCGATTTTCTGCGCAGTGTCTGTTAGTTATTTTATCAATGACAGAGGAGGGAGTGAATGAAGCCAGTCTGTGTTGATAAGGCTTCCAAATTAAATTAAATTTGTCTGACAAAGCAGCAGCTCTCATTTAGTCGTCTTGTTCGGGTCGGTACATTTCTCCTCTCAGTAGGGTTGTTTACAGCACACATGATTTCTTGTTGGCTTCTTAGCCTAGCCTCTTTCACAGCGACATACGTCGTGGCCAACCGATCCAATCATTTTAAACTTCAGCAGAGGCTGCGCCTCCTGCAAGAATCGCTTCTGCCGCGAGTCCAGACCCTCTTACAAAACAAGGATCTGATTTTTACCAGGTTAAGACTTGTCAAATAATTCCAAAATTTTCAACATTTTAATTTAACATTATATTCGTTATTGCCTTTAGAAGAAAAATCGTGTGTGTGTGTGTGTGTATGTCGCTGTGAAGGAGGCTAAGCTAAGAAGCTAACAAGAAACTTCGTGTACTGTGAACAACCCTACTGAGAGGAGAAATGTACCGACCCGAACAAGACGACTGTAAATGAGAGCTGCTGCTTTGTCAGACAAATTTAATTTAATTTGGAAACCTTATCAA